TGACGAATCATTTGTTATTTTATGGTTTTTTGTGCGTATAAATAAATATAATAATATTTTTTTCTTTAGCTGATTACTCGTTCTATTAATGTTTCTAAGAAACATCATGGTAAATTAATGGGTAAATCAGGAGCAGTCCGAAAAGATATCGAAATACGTACTGGAGCACGTATATATATACCAAGCATTAAAAATACGTCCGAGATCATAAATGTTACTGGAACAAGAAATAGTACGGCAAAAGCTATAAAAGTATGTATCAAAAATATGTTTTAACGAATTGAAATATTAATTTTATAGCCCGTATGTTTGTGGTAACCACTAAAACCATTGATTAAAATTTTAAAAACGTAGATATTATTCAAAACATTTGGGTTATTCTAAATTTTAATTTGTATATCACTCGGTCAGTGATTAGTGCACATTTAAAACCACTATCACAACTAATTTGAAATATTGGGCAAATATAAATTACTCGTTACTATTTATAATAGTGGTAACGAAGGATTATTGCACAGTTTTGGGCTTTGAACTAGTTGTATACATTTTTTAATTTTCGATTGTCTAAGAAACATTTTGTCTTGTTTAATATGATGAATTTAATAAATACTGATCGAAGTATTAGTAAATTAATATCATAATAATATTGTAATAATATTAACGTAAATAAAAATCGTAAGAATATGACGATATTGCCTTTTTTTCGATCTAAAATATATTTTTTGCCTCAAAAAACTAATTGATAAAATTTAATATAGTTAAATATCTTGTGGGTGGGGTCGGGAAATACTATTAGTGCAAGGGTGGAATATTTTTCTAATGTAAAATATCAAAAATTATTTGATATTTTTTCTTCCTGTATGCAATTAAATAATGAAAAATATTATTTATTAATCAATATAGTATAACATTTATTAATTAAAGTATCCATATTGAACTTGTTTAGAATATAAAATGGAATATTATTTAATTTATGAAAATAAAATTATTTAAGTATTCATTGATTTGCTTGGTGTGATTTTTATTACATTTCATTCCAGTTAATTTATATTCGGTTTGTAATCTATAAATTTTAATGTAGTATAATGCACTACTCTATTTATATGTTGGTCGATTTCTATGTTCACAGTTAATAAAATTCATTTCCGAAAAGAATGACTCGTATGAATAGGTTAGAAAAAAATTAACAAAACTGTTTAAGTGGTTAATTGTTGCTGTACTATTTATTATTAAAAATTAAATTAAAATTAAATCCTTAATAAATATTTGAAAATATCATGATCTCTAACTCTATATAAATCTATCTAAACTAAAATGTAGATAAAATTATTGAAATTCAACAAAAAGTCTGAAAATATCCTACAACTTTCCATTATAACCTAATATATTAAAAATTAATGTTCAATGAATCGATATCGACTTTTACCAATATTCAATGTTCAAATTCTTACAAATATATTATATGTATTTTAATAGTTACTAACAAATTAGCGTTATGTTAAACAATAAATTTATGAGCATTTGAATATTGAATATTGACAAAACTCGATATCGATTCATTGAACATTCATTTTTAATATATTAGGTTTAAGTTTTTAAAGAATTTCTGTTGAGAATTTTATTTTAAAAGAATTTACCTTGTCACAAAAAAATGTACAAGTCGTATGTATTAACGAAATTGGGTGTTTCAACAAATTTCCATAATATAGTTTCATTCGTGATTTTCTAATAATTTAAATTATTATTAGGAATTGGAGGAAATTATATTGAATTTGAAAAATGTAAGCGAAAAAGAAATTTTAATTGATCAGCGTCATCATGGAGCTATGATCGGAGTTAAGGGTAAAAAAGTTACACAACTTCAAGAAACCTTTAATGTTAAAATTACATTTCCCAGTCCAGGTAATTAATAATGTTAATATACGAGTATTTGTTTTTTGCATTTTGTTTATTAATAAATAATATTTGGTTTGATATTTTAGCCGAGGCTAAAAATAATTTAGTCAAAATACGAGGTTTGAAAGACGATGTAGATAAAGCGTTTCAATCCATATCTGAATTGGTTAAAGTATTGGATGAGTCTTTAAAATTTCACAAAACTGGTGCTGGAAATAAAGTTGTGATTAATGGTAGCAAGTCAAATGTTGCTTCTAAACGTCAATTATTATTATAAAATATTGATATTTTCATGTTGATATGTTGTTAAGTAATATTTATTAAAATAATAATTATATAAAAAAATGATTTTTGTGCATTTTATATAAATATACCTATAATGGTTTCAAAATTATCGTAGGCCCTAATATTGAGTGTACAATCCCGGAACTAAAAGTCTGCGCACGTCTATGTTTCTTTCTACCATTAACCAATACGTAGCTGGAGCAGCCATCGTAACTCTAGAAGAATTTTTTCACAATGCTTCAACTGTTGCGATCACTAACCTCTATAACATATACTGAAGAGTTTACGGAATTCTTTCCACAACAATGACGACAACTTATTTCTAAGGTTTATAGTAGTGATAAATTAAAAATTATACGATTAGAGTCGAATGCAGTAATTTGAGAAATCATAAAATAAATTTAAGAACATAAAATCTCGATCGGATAATTCAAAAGATAATTAAATATAACAAACGCCATCATTATTTTTTGATTCTAAAATTACATATTATATTCATACTGAATAAGTGTACGTAAATTAAACAACGCTAACACTCAATAAATATATATAGGTATAATAATAAAGTTTATCGTCTATCGATATTATAATTGTTGTCTGGTATTAAACATCGTTAAATGTCTAAATGTAATATAATAAGGAACAAATAAACGGTTTGGCAAAATATGTTAGAATAGTCTAATCAAATTCGAGGAATTCAATACCTATATATATAAATTTATTTTTATTTATATTCATCAATTTTATATCAATGCTAATTCTATGAACGAAAAATTCTTAAAATTCTTCTGTTTATACGAGTAGTAGGGAATAATGGGAGTGTAACACTAATGACACGAAGATAATGATAAATCAAGAAATATTAGCAAAAATATGAAGATTTACACTTGGGGCCGAGCTGGCGCATCGGTCAAAATAGAGAATCGGTTTTTTAGCCCATAAAAAATGTCGTGCGAATTCAGGTGATGAGCATGAATTTTTACACATTCATGCTAATTACATGCAAAATATTGACCGAAAAAAATGGCGCAACGTTGCGCCAGCCTGGCCACTTTTTTTTATGTTTTACTGGTAAACCATGTTCATGCAAATTGTGCGGATGGCAATGCAAATTCATGCTAATTACATGCTAAACATTGGGCTAGTTTGTTTGTCAAAATTATAAATGGGCCGGACTGACTCAATGTACGTTAAAAATACCTGATTTTTATATATGTATTTATACATGGATAAGGATATTAGAGACGATATATTTTAGACGAGATAAAATACGATAAAGTATCGTACCGAGACAAAACTATTGGGATTAAAATATCAAGTGATGTATTGAAATACAGAGAATTAGTACTTTAATAATAGGTACTTATAATAATATAAAATTTCATTGTTATAAACGGTTACATGTATTCGGTTACGAACCATAGACAATGGCGCCGACTACGTACTCCAAGTAGTTCAATTGAACTGTCTAGAAAATTGGAATTTAAAAAAAAAATAAAAATAATCATTAAAAAATATAAATAAATTTTTTTATATATTACTTGACAAGTATTTTCTAATTAAAATAGTATATTTAATAATTAAATATTATATAACGTCTTTAATTATTAAAGATGTTTAAAAGAAATGTTTTGGTATTTGAAGGGGTGGTAAATTTGGAAGGGGAAGCGGCTAAATCTAATTATTTGAACTGGCAGTTTCAATTTCATTCGGCGCGATTGCTCATAGATATCTAATAATCGAACAACTTTCGTCAACGTTTAAGGACACCTGTGCATTTTATTTTCCCAGTTTTCTTATAAAAAAAAAGGAAGTAATTTTGAGTTACTCAAGGTTTAACTATCCGTTTGTATGTAAATCGTTATTGTATTATTCGTGCTGTGTCTTTTTTTGTATTTGTTTTGTTTTAGCGAATACGATAAACAATAACACAATAATAATAATACGAGCAAATAATGATCGAAGTTTACAACAACAATAATAATACAAATTTATTCACTAACCGTATTTTTTACGTTAATTTTTACTATTACTAATTACTATTATGTACAAATGCGTATATCGAATATTAAGTAGGCTTATAGGAAAATAAAAAAAATTCCTCATACGTGCCATATGTCACAGATAATTGTTGTTATTTTGTAGTTTAAGTATGAAACGTTGTAATTTAGATACAGGGTGAATTACTTTCATTTTTCCAAACACTTGAGATTATTGTGACGGTCGTTTTTATTTTTTTACATTTGTCATTTTCTGAATTAATTTAGTATTATGAAAAGTATTTCGTCTACAATAAAAGACATAGGAACAAGTCGTTTTTTCAATGTTTATCCATTGGGCTGTAGACATTATTTGTTATCGATATGATTCCGATTATTTTGAGTTTCGGAAATAGTTAATCTGTTCGTTTTTTAGGATTCAATAAATTCTCGTCTGTTATCGACCTGGTTAACGCCAAATGTTTTCTACGAACATACGACATCGAATTCTGCAAGCTGTATTTTATGTTGTCTTCTTCGTCTTGGTTTTATCTTCAATAAATAACATTATCTTTTTGCGAGGAAAGCTTTCAGCTTTAGTGGTTATTCGATTTAAAAATCACGTAATATAGAACTATGCAATAATTACTACCACTAGTGTTGTACTTCTCCGCATCTGACCGATTCTCACTTTTTACTAAAATAATAATAAAAACTTCACCTTGTATGGAATTTAAGCAAAGTGTAATTGTAAGCGCTACTTAAAATTCCCTATTATTATAGCATTACAATACGTGCGTCAAACTATTGCCACGCCCTCGTTACGATTTGAACAGGGTCTATTCGCCATCGGAATTTCGTGCAAGACATGGTGAAAATCTATCGCATACGATCACTATATTGCTCTTCGGATAGACCACGTTGTTTTAATAGTACGTCGAAATAAGCTCGTGAAACCTGTGTACAATGACTGTTATGTTCAGTAAACTGTGGTTATTAGCCGTGGTGTTCGTCGCGTTTTTGTATCAGGATGGACTCCGAGGCAACGGTGTATTCTGCAGAATATATGAGCCTACCGTAAAAGAAAACAAACAGGTCAAAGATATTAGCAGACAAGAAATTGATGTTAGTGCATCCGAAACCGAAAATAGGAGCGTCACTGATGATGACGATTCAGGTGGCACCAGTGAAGGCTCTCATTCGGAAACAGGCAGAGGTTTTCGCGTCGAGTCTAGCAAGAGGAAGAATGATTTTGACGACGAAGGGAAAGAAGATGATAATGAATACGAGGGTAATGACTTTGGTGCAAACACTCATGACGATGAAGACGACGTGAAACCAAAAAGAAACCATGATGCCCGTATCAAAGCCAGTTTAAAGAATAATAGGCGTGATAAAACATATGATGACGATGACGGGGAAGATGAAGAAGAGGTCGATGTAAGCTATAATAAGAAACAATCAGCCAGTAAAAATCCCAATATATACAATAATACTGCAACGGGCAAACATGCAATTGGTAAAGTCAACGACCAAAAAAACTATAAGAGTACGGTGAAAAATCATTTAATACGAAGAAATTCTAAAAGTAATAGTGAAAACAATGTGAAAAACAATAGAACACGAAAATCTAATATGAACAAGAATAAACATGGTAAAAGGTTACAGAGCGAAGAAGATGAAAACGAAGATAAAGAAGAAGAAAACAGTGAAGAAATTAACGAAGTATATAATGAAACGGAGGAGGAAGAGGAATTCGAACCCTCAATGACCATAATCACGGGAAGTCCTAAAAACATTGTAAACTTTCTTAACAAAGGTACCTGCAGTATTTGATAGGTTTTGTAGACAACGATTTTCTTTGTCGACAAAACTTACATTATGTTAGAATAAGTCTATGAACAAATCTAGTAAAAAAAATAGTCAAATAAGTTGTATCCGATTTATTGTACTATGGGAATAGATGTTTATTTTTTTTTTAATTTTAGATAGTCGTATAATATATAATATAATATGCATATATTTTTTCGAATGGGACAATGGCTTTAATTTACCCACCGTAAATGTACACAATTCGTAGCTTTAAAACACAATTCGCATGCTATTATCATATCATTTTATCATGAACTCATGTCTATCGATTATTTTCTTTGTTATTTTATTTAAAATTATTATTTGTACATATAAGTACTTGAAACGTTTTGAACAACATATGGTAAATTGAGTTATTACATTTTTTTTAATAAGCTACACCTTGATTTTTACAAAAAAATAAAAATGTTTATAAGTTTTGTTGTCCCCTCCAGACTAGGTCATCACTTAAGTATACCTATTAAGTGTGAACACATAATATTTAATAAACAAACAACATTTCCATAATTTTCAGGACTATAATTATTATTTATGGTATAATTTGTATTGTTTCCATATTTTGTTTAGAAGTGAGCCCTTTTAAAATGGACACGAGAAAATCAAATAATGAGCTTCGACAAAAAATTGAAAGAGCTAGGAAAATCAATCTATCACGAAACCATGGGGCTGGTCCAAAAGGAGATATTTACGTTTACATGCACAACGTAATAAGAAGGAACCCTCGTAAAAATATATCGAAAAAATTTCAACGAAGTCGGGTAAGTAAAGCATTTGATGTTATCAACCGCAAAATTACATCAAAAATGTATGTGTTAAGTATGGTGATTTCTCTGTATAATCACTTTTTTTCTACTCTTAGTCCGCATTTAATTATTTACTTTGCCATTTTATTTTTCATTCTATTAATTTTGGTTACGTTTTTTCGTTGAACACATTATATATCTACTGTCAGTTTTATTTTCGTGGTTTTTTCATTGTTCACACTTTATGTAACATAGCCACATCAATATAAGTATTTTATACGACATAGTTAATATTTGTTTTTTTTTTATTACATGATTTTTGATGAGCAGTGACATTAAAAATAGTTTTAATAATTTTCGTGTTTTTAACTATACGAGTACATACTCAATTTTAATCTCTAGAAACTGTATACTACTTTAGTCCATTCTATACAAATGCGATACATTTCATACAAATACATTTGATTTTGTATCCTTTCACTCGGTGCTATACAGTTTTTTGATAGATCTTTTGAAAAGCATTTAATAATACTAATAATGACTCGATTTCTGTTAACGGCATAAACATATGATTTAATTTTTTTCATTATCTTTTTATTTTAATTATTGTTTTTTTTTTTACTTTCACAATACTTTATTTATTATATTTTAATGTGATTTTTGGATTTTCTGATTGGTACTTTATTAAAATATCGAAACCAGTTTTGATGTGTTTTAAAATATTGGAGTGTTTCATTTTTAATTCTTTTGAAATTAAAATTCGTCAAAAATAAAGTGTATTGGTAAAAAACGACTTTATCCTACAACTACCTACAACCATTTTTTTGTCCATCACATAAATTATACTATTATCTAATAAATAATAATATATTTATTAAATTATTATTGGATATTATAAATAATTATACATAATTTTTTGATTAAGTATTATTGTATTAAGCATCAAAGAATAAATGTATTTATTTTACAGGGATTAGTATCCATTGTGAAGGACTTATTGATACCATTAATACACCGTGGTTAGTTCATCAACTTACAGGTATGAGTTTGAAATTATGAATATATTATTATAATTTTTAACATAAAAAAAATCGGTTTATAATTTTAACAATATTATATATTATAAAAATTACAAAGAGTATGACCGCTTAAAAAAATATAATATAACCTCTGAACTGCAGTATTCGTGTATTTAAATTACCTTAAAATTTTTATTCATTCGTTCAAATAATAATATTTAAAAAATATTTGGTTTTTATTATTATAAATATTACACAATGATTATAGTTATACAAGTTCATAATCCCGTGATCTATCTATAATCAATATCTATAATTAATTTCGTAGTTTTATGTAAAAAAAAAAGGGAACTTGTTATTCAACGTTTGTAAAATCTTTGATTGACGATTTATTTACGAAGGTATTAATTTTTTTACCTAGATCGTAATCGTTAATATACGTGAATAATTACTAAATATAATTTTGTGGCTAGTTAATTTTAAGAAAATTTAATTATTTATCGTTTTATTTTATCACACAATAAACTGATACACCTTACCGAAACATACATTTTTCAAAACTCGTTAAATAATAAATATTTATTGCGACAACTTACTTTTGTCAACTATTAACTGTATGTTAATATTATATAAGTCTATTCCAGTGGCGGGTCCAAAGAGGAGTGAATGGAGGGCAAGTGCCATCCTCGTTGGAAAAAAATATTAAAAATATAGTATATTTAGAAGAATTAAATAATAGATTATAAAAATAAATGTTGACAGATTTAAAACAATATTGTCACATTATTTTTGAGGGGGGTCTAAACCCACAAAGACACCATTACTTACGCTTATGACCAGCTATATTATATAACTCCTACTATAAAGGATCTGCTGGATCCACCCTTGGTTTATTCCTACATTTTTTCAAATAATATAATTTTGTTATCAATAAACGTGATTCTATGATATTTCATTACTAATTAAATCACTCGTATCATAATTGCAACAACATTCGATGTTCGGGGTTAATACTTCAATGGATAAATAAGTACAAGGATAGCATAATATAATGTTGAGAAACAAATAAAATTCAGTCTTCTAATTTTTTCAAATATATTTTTCTTAGTTAACCATGTAAATCAACACTGTATATTTTTAAATGAAAAAAAAAAATTAAATCAACTATTATAAATTGTTTTCACTTTAATAGTAATCTCTTTCGTACACAATACACAAATAACAACAGTATAAAATAACATGCTTATTTTCATGTACAATAGGGTTAAAAATTAGAAACAAATCAGTCGTACCTTTAATCGCGTACGTTAAGTAGACATAATTTCATGCAATCTGTTTTGAGAAAAATTTAAAAAAAAAAAAACAATACAAAACACAATATTTAAGAATGAATCAAATTAGTTAATTTAGCATTATATTTTGCTAAATCGTAATAATCATCAATATGTATATTGTATCATTATTACTTTGCATCGATAAAAAATTGCTCACTTTTTGGTTAAATCTTAACATCTAGTTGATTACGTGAACAAAATTCATCCGAGTGGAAAATTTATCTAAAAACTTGAGAAATATTATTATTAAACGCATTGTCTGAGAGAAAACAATGATATTCTATAATCGAAACATCTATATGGGCAATAAATCAAGTATAAAATATTTAACATCCTATTCAACATATTTTATTCTATTTATTTGGTCTATAACGTCTAGAATTTAAAACTTAACAATAAATAATAATGATGATAATAATAATAATAATAATAATAATAATAATAATAATAATAATAAT